TAATATATAACAGGGAGTTTCATTAAGTTGAGCTTGTCTATCTTCCAATATAATTTGTAGACATTTCATTTCATTTTTCATTACGTTGTGGTGATATAAGACCTAACCATACTGAAYGATGYCTCAAGGCGCAATTTGTGYKYGATTCTAAGACACTGATCGCSTGCACAGTATYTGTCCGATGGCTGATAATAGCACTGCTTYAAAGTTGCCAAATACCAGTATTCCTAACTATGGCAATGAGATCCCATGGACTGTAGCKTTCTCTCTTCAATTCCTGTTCAGTATTATCGGAAATGTTCTCATTYTGRTRATAATCTACAAGGACAATCGATTGAAAACGATGACTAATTACTTAGTGGCCAACATGGCGGTCAGCGATCTTCTTGGAGCATTARMTGTCTTTCCAAGASAGATARTGAGCTTAACKTCTSCTGCAAATCTATGGCGGGTTGATACAGGCGACATAGACACTGCATTGTGTAAGCTGTTTACATTTACAGTAAATTCGTGTTTTATTGTTTCCATAAATAGCTGTGTTTTCATTGCTATCGACCGATATTACGCCGTGGCTCATCCACACAGYAGAMCTTTTAAAAGGAAGATGAAACACATCATYACAGGAATTTGGATTTCCACATCGATACTGAGCTCACCTAACTTGTTTTACTTTGATCTGGCGGATACAGATAAGAGCAAAATAAARTGTRSRGTGTCATCACAGAACATGYCKTCTTTTAGAGTTTATAATTATTTCATTTTAGTGTTAACGTCTTGTTTGCCAAGCTTAGTCATCATAGTCGCTTACACCTTAACCGTGTATAAACTTTATCGCCACAAGGTTCCAGGACTTCMAAACTTAGCTCTGAAAAGACGAGAACATCAAAACAAAAAAGTGTTGAAAATGGCCGTGACGATTGTGGTTTTGCTTTATCTTTGCCACGGTAGTTGGTTGATTYACWCTATTCTTGTGCTTGAAGGAAAGATCCCCTTGGCATCCCTTWACCTCRCTCGTACGTTKYTTTTTGTGCTTTACTTCAGCCTTTGCTACAATTTTTTCATCTACCTCGTTTTCAATGGCCTTTATCGCGAGGACATTAAAACTTTGATATCCAAATACTATTGCTGTTCCAGATCAAAGCGAACTTATGCCATTAATAGCCTTGCCGCGGCAAGAGCSRCTGTGGTAAGAATAAATGAAAGAAATGCTGTTATATAAAAAAAATATAAAACAGTTTTCTGGTTTGTTTGTATACGTTTAATAGTTCAAGTTCATGCTGAAGTTGTTTTATTGGATTTACGTCGCGAAAAAGTGTTATAATCTCTTCATTTAATCCCACAGTTTAAAGAGAATTATATTAAGGCGTCATGAAATACTTTTTCTTTTTTTAACGTTTGCATATATATATAATATAGTTTTACAGACTTAGGGAAGTACGATTCTCTTTTCTCTCTTTTATTGCTAACCAATGCTTTTGGACACTTCTTTATCTCAATAAGTCTTCATCAGTGTTTCTATCATACGCAGCTGTGACTGATCTCCTGAGAGGTATTGWCTTGAAAAAGTGATTGAGTGTTTGTAATAACAATTTCGCATGGATCAAATTACTGTCTGCCATCCCTGTCAAGCAAGATATGACTTGMATGATTAATGAACTCTTCACTTCCGATAGTTATTACWACCGARAATGCCTGGATATTAGTGGATGTCGGTSATCTTTGATTTCTTTTTCTTTTCTACTTTTTTTTCTTTTTCTTTTTTAATTAGAACCCCTTCTATATATAGTCAATCTTTATTCGATTCTGTTGCGATGGAAATTATGTTGTCCACTGAAGTCTCGGCCTAGGAAACCCCATCAATGTCTTCTTTAGATAAATTAAGGTATTTCATTAAATGTAAAACTAATTCTAAAACTCTATTTTGTGCTTCAAAAAAACATCACAAAAATAAAGCACGAGGTAACGACGATGAGTGATAATAAGCAAAAACTACACCGTCCATACAGTTGTAGTATATTAAGTAACAATGCACTAAAGAACTAGGGAACTCTCTATTGTTCTGCGGCATAGCAAGTTCCCCATGTACGAATGTCTTGGTTTTCACTCTGATCATGTATCCATCTGTGGGTAACACATTTTTGAAATAAAATGTGGTTAAACTCTATTTTGAAACAAAGTTTCTTTTGTATTAAAAGCTCTTATCCAATCATAAGCACTCAAAACAATAGCCAAAAGATGCTTCTAATTTGCAATGTTCCCCACATAGAATTGCCTTAATATTGAAGCTAAAGAAAGCTTTTCATGAAAGCGAAAACAGACATTAAATAAAATATTAGAAAATTTGCTAACTTGTGAAATTATAGCAGATTTTCATGTTTTAACCAATGGGATGGATGGATTATACAATGCGCAATTAGCACCTTCTTGCATTCCTGTGCCGTTTGCTTCCCTAGTTCTTACTCGGGGCATTACTTAAACTAGGAATACTGGCACCAGATGGATTTAAAGTGATGATTAAACACATAAGCAGGAAACGCACTTATTCTATGGATAGTGTAGAAGGACAATAGACTGAAAACTACCATCAATCAATTTAATGGCCAACATGGCGTTCAGTGATCTTGTTGCGTCTGTCATTTTATTTCCATATCTCATCGTTCTCATCGTGACATTGTGCTCCAGTGGCCCATTACTGTTGTTATTCTTGCTGTACCTCGACATTTCTTACTGTCATTTARTTAAATCCAAAAATAAAATGATTGTACTAATTGGGATAGATRGATAAGTATTTGCTCAAGTAATGAACAGTGAGTTGCCATGCGAACTTGAAACTTAAATGTACGTTTGCTTGTTGTTTGTTTCATGAACTATTTGCTGAAATGAAGGGAGAAGCTAAACTTGTAAAATGGTGTCAATTTCTGTATGTGTTTCCACGTTCACAGTGGATTCCCTGTGGTGTCTGTTGTATCTTTCATGATTTGCCTGTTGTATCAATTAGTTAAATTAGTACAAAAATATGAAGACAAGTATATTTCATTGATATTATTAGGGTCTTGTATTTTCTTTGTTCTTTATGTGTGTGAGTCCTATCTTTTAAGTATTACGTACTATTATTTATGAAATTTTCCTCCGCTCTGATTGGTGGAGAGTCGACTGTGTTACCCGATAGTGCCCAGTGCTATCCGAGTAAAGAGCCCGCCAGAAATTGTTGTTGAAAACAAAATATAGAGTAGTCTAGAACGAGAGAATGCAGTTTTTCGGATCATCCAGTTTCTGCGGGCAACTATCACGCCTTTAATGGCCTCGATTGCAAACGCAAAAGAATTATGACGAGGCGTAAAGATCAGTCAATTATAAAAAAAACTATTGTTCTGTTACGAAAAACTGAGCTTTATGCACAGGTTGTTTTGTGATTACCGAGGCGAATTTCGCCTTTAATTAGAAGGTGTGTCTCATTGGGTATAGATTATTTTTACGAGACTTTTTCCTCCCATAGGTTCTCTTTATGAAGAACTTGTTGGAAACGGAAGACCTCGATGAAGTGATTCAAACACTGAAAGCAATCGCAGTTCATGTTCTGGAAGGCACTCAGTTTAGGTAATGGTCATCAGTAAAATAGATCCTTCACAATGCTAAAACGTCTGGGCCTCCAGAAGCCGGGTTGTTCAAAGCTCGACTAGCGCTAATCCTGGGTTAACTCTAAAAAACCTATGGAGTTAAACCTGGATTAACGCAAATCGGGCTCTGAACAACACGGACCCGAAATAACATCAGCTTCCTTTTTCCCATCTCTTGTCCCCCTAAATATTGTTTGGTCACCAGAACATAGACCAAAGATGATTTTGGATACAACTAAATTTGAATTTGAACTGCGTACAGGCATGTACAAATCAAAATATTAACACCATGGCAATAACAGTATTGGGGAAGATGCATGATATCAGTCTAGATGTTCGTCTTGCCTTGGTCTCGGCAAGTTAAGTTTCGATATTGAAACTATCAGTTTGCTTTTCTCGAAACCTGTGAAATGATATCATTTAATGAAGAATCATTTGATTGAATAAGTAATTTATTCAGCTGTAATCATTGTTTTCCTGTTACACTAAGATGCGCTGTGAATGTGGTTCCCGAGAGTAGGTCAGCGGTCGAGGCAGCACTGGAAGGATACTGCGATTCGCTGCCTGGTGCTTGGACAGATACTTCAGGCATGATTACGGTAAACTTCTACACCTATTTTTATTATCTTTAAAAGCTATGAATATATCAAGAGATACATGTTTCCAACACACTGCTAGMTGATTTTGAATATATTTTTGTCAAGTGCCAAATCTGTTGTGTTTTAGGACCTTAACTTTGAAGCTAAAGCATCAAAGGTTCATTTTGAATTGCCATTCCCTGTGAACTACTCTAGTCAATGTGTCAACTCTGTGCCTTACAACCACGAAGACTACGCAAAGTAAGTGTTCAAACATAGCGATTGATAGACGCCGTGAGATATTTGAGACTACAATCGTCTGACCAAATCCTTGGACCATTCCAGCGAATTTCCCCATTTTAAGCAACACCCTCAGACAATTTCATCCCCCTGATCCCCTCAATGCAATGTTGTCATTGAGCATGTTGCCATAGTACACAAGCATCCAAAACAAGATCCAACATTAATGAAAGGGGGCTAAGGGGGAAAACTGTGAAAAATATAAAGGGGAAAAATGTCTGCAACGATTGTACATACATAAATGGGAAAACAAATGGTGTGTGCAAACACAAACGAACGGACGAACGGACATATCGATATACTTGACAGTATTTTATGTTATACAAATAAATATGATGTGTATCTTTTAAATACTAGATTGAGAATTCTCGCAAGACTGTTATCTTCAAAGTTTCTTCATCGAGAAATTCGGTAAAAATAGGGTTTTACTTTTGTGTTGTATTCAGGCGCTTGATCAAAACCCTTACTATAAAATAGGGTCATATCGCCGTTTTGAATCCTGTTCTTCCATGGCGTTTTGATACGTAGCATTTTTCATATCTTCAGGGAGAAAGGCGGTGCTTACGGTGGAGGYGCTAAACTTGGAGGAGGCGTATTCTCATTTTATTCTTACAGGTTTGTGTTACAATTATCGGTTTAACTGTGCCTTAAAGGTGGCTTCCTATAGTTTTTTTTTTTCGACCATACCTCACCTTATAAATTCGCTTTTTGAAAATCTTGACGTGCACCGATTTATTCGGTGTTTGGGTCAGTAATAAAGCATTGATCAAAGTTTTGCTTGGCATAATATTTAGCCCATTAACGTTACCTAGGCAACGGAAATAGGCTTTTGGCGAAATTTGCTATTGCCAAATATCTCAAAAAAGTGATGAGATCCAGAAAAGCGGTAGACATCATCATTAGCTTCAAACTATTGCACAACGTTTTGGAATAGTTGAAAACAGATTCATCGGTTAGATTTCGAGTAATATGCAAAAATCACATCCATAAAATATTTGTCAATATTACTCGAAATCGAAAAGATGAATTTGTTTTCCGTTGCCTAGGTAACGTTGATGGAGCTAAATATTATGCCAAGAAAACTATGGTCAATGCTTTAATACTGGTCCAAACACCAATGAAAACGGTGCACATGGCAAGATTTTCCAAAAAAAAAAAAAGATTTGAAAGGAGAGGTATGGTCGAAAAAAACTAAGGAAGCCACCTTCAAGGGCGACGAATGATATGAAGAGAAGACCACGAGTCACTGATCGTTTTAGAATTCGAATTGGCAATAGCCTATCGTAAATAGCTTCATATATACTTGTTATTTCGCTGATGCTCTGAACAATCTTTCTGAAGTCGTAGTTTGTCGGGATATGACGCAGGCTAATGAAAAGTTATAACTTCGTGATTACGTCAAATTCACGTATATCTACTGCTAAGTTTGTTTTGTGTAGCCATAGCATGGATACAGTGTCTACAAGAATAATTTGGGGGTAATCTAAATATATACCCTGTACTCGTTTGATCAAATTGTTTTACCTAGCAAGTTATTCTGCAAATAAACAGGTCATAATACTCCTTAGCATGAAATTCGTGAATCGTTCCACGAATTTGACATCTACTTGAAATGTGAAGTAATTGTCTTCATGATAAAAGAAGAAGATATTTCTTCTGCGTTGTGGTGATTTGTATTGTTGTTGTAATGCATGTAACGGTTAATATATAAAAATACGGCGTCATCTAATGCATGATCGTCGTTTTAGAGACCCAAATAGTGTAGACACCTTGGACGCTTTTAACAGGTCTGTTGAATGGGCCGAACAAGGACAGTTTACAGACCTAGACATCGATGAAGCCAAATTAGCCGTATTTGCATCGGTAAGACATGAATTCGCTCCTCACCATCCTCCAATCCCTCATTCCCTGTTCTTCATGTGCACGTCTCATCTCACTTCATCCCTTCCAGTTATTTCTTTTTTTCCTTGTGTTATTTTTTTCTCCTTTCAGCTCTTTATTCCTTTCCGCGTCCCTCCGTCGATCCCTCTATAATTTACTCTCTCCTCTTCTTTCTCCTATTCGGTGCCATCCCTTCTCCATCTCCTTTTATCCAATATTCTTCCATATATGTTTATATTAAACTGCATCGTCATGGTTACAGGTCGACAGCCCAGTGTCACCAGGCAACAGAGGCCTAGGTTATTTCAGCCAAGGAGTAACAGACGAGATGAAACAAACACAGCGTGACAGGTTGTTTGCTGTCACGCGTGACGATCTTATCGACGTCACAAGGCGGTGAGTGTTTTTTNGTCTCGGCCTAGGAAAACCCCATCAATGTCTTCTTTAGATATAAGTGTCACACTGGCGTTTTTTTTTTGTGCAACTTGTGTCGCGCAAAAAAATGTTGAAGTTGCACGATCGTTTTTTAACGTGTGACACCCCCTCATGCAACTTGAACATTTCATGGCTTCTACTTTTTTCAACATTTTTCTGAAAAACGCGTGTGTGACATGGTCTCTTGCAACTTCCAAATTTTTCAATTAGGCGCACGAACCCATAATAAAGCGAGAATCTGTCCTGTTGTCACTTGTTGTAATAATCAACAAAGATTCCCGACGCCATCTTTGGCGAAAGCGATAATTTTGAAGAAGAAAACGAGAATGAAAGTGAGATGATCGTACATTTTCATTTTGAGCGATTTTGGTGGGCTATAGTCCATGCATTTTGATCAAAAAAGGGTCATTTTAAGCGATTTTGGTGGGCTATAGCCCATGCATTTTGATCAAAAAAGGGTCATTTTGAGCGATTTTGGTGGGCTATAGCCCATGCATTTTGATCAAAAAGGGTCATTTGAGCGATTTTGGTGGGCTATAGCCCATGCATTTTGATAGTGTGACATGGCATCGTGCAACTTCAACATTTTTTGCGCGACACAAGTTGCACGAAAAAAACGCCAGTGTGACACGGCCTTAAATGTAAAACTAAAAATCACAAAAATAAAGCACGAGGTAACGACGATGAGTGATAATAGAACCACACCGTCCATACAGTTGTAGTATATTAAACTATAGCCCATGCATTTTGATAGTGTGACATGGCATCGTGCAACTTCAACATTTTTTGCGCGACACAAGTTGCACGAAAAAAACGCCAGTGTGACACGGCCTTAAATGTAAAACTAAAAATCACAAAAATAAAGCACGAGGTAACGACGATGAGTGATAATAGAACCACACCGTCCATACAGTTGTAGTATATTAAACTAGGAATACTGGCACCAGATGAATTAAAAGTGATGATTAAATACATAAGCAGGAAACGCACTTATTCTATGGATAGTGTAGAAGACTGAAAACTACCACCAATCACTTAGTGGCCAACATGGCGTTCAGTGATCTTCTTGCGGCTGTCATTTTATTTCCATATCTCATCGTTCTCATCGTGACATCGTGCTCCAGTGGCCCATTACTGTTGTTATTCTTGCTGTACCTCGACATTTCTTACTGTCATTTAGTTAAATCCAAAAATAAAATGATTGTACTAATTGGGATAGATGGATAAGTATTTGCTCAAGTAATGAACAGTGAGTTGCCATGCGAACTTGAAACTTAAATGTACGTTTGCTTGTTGTTTGTTTCATGAACTATTTGCTGAAATGAAGGGAGAAGCTAAACTTGTAAAATGGTGTCAATTTCTGTATGTGTTTCCACGTTCACAGTGGATTCCCTGTGGTGTCTGTTGTATCTTTCATGATTTGCCTGTTGTATCAATTAGTTAAATTAGTACAAAAATATGAAGACAAGTATATTTCATTGATATTATTAAAATCTTGTATTTTCTTTGTTCTTTTTGTGTGTGAGTCCTATCTTTCGAGTATCACGTACTATCATTTAACAAAATTTTCCTCCGCTCTGATTGGTGGAGAGTCGACTGTGTTACCCGATAGTGCCCAGTGCTATCCGAGTAAAGAGCCCGCCAGAAATTGTTGTTGAAAACAAAATATAGAGTAGTCTAGAACGAGAGAATGCAGTTTTTCGGATCATCCAGTTTCTGCGGGCAACTATCACGCCTTTAATGGCCTCGATTGCAAACGCAAAAGAATTATGACGAGGCGTAAAGATCAGTCAATTATAAAAAAAACTATTGTTCTGTTACGAAAAACTGAGCTTTATGCACAGGTTGTTTTGTGATTACCGAGGCGAATTTCGCCTTTAATTAGAAGGTGTGTCTCATTGGGTATAGATTATTTTTACGAGACTTTTTCCTCCCATAGGTTCTCTTTATGAAGAACTTGTTGGAAACGGAAGACCTCGATGAAGTGATTCAAACACTGAAAGCAATCGCAGTTCATGTTCTGGAAGGCACTCAGTTTAGGTAATGGTCATCAGTAAAATAGATCCTTCACAATGCTAAAACGTCTGGGCCTCCAGAAGCCGGGTTGTTCAAAGCTCGACTAGCGCTAATCCTGGGTTAACTCTAAAAAACCTATGGAGTTAAACCTGGATTAACGCAAATCGGGCTCTGAACAACACGGACCCGAAATAACATCAGCTTCCTTTTTCCCATCTCTTGTCCCCCTAAATATTGTTTGGTCACCAGAACATAGACCAAAGATGATTTTGGATACAACTAAATTTGAATTTGAACTGCGTACAGGCATGTACAAATCAAAATATTAACACCATGGCAATAACAGTATTGGGGAAGATGCATGATATCAGTCTAGATGTTCGTCTTGCCTTGGTCTCGGCAAGTTAAGTTTCGATATTGAAACTATCAGTTTGCTTTTCTCGAAACCTGTGAAATGATATCATTTAATGAAGAATCATTTGATTGAATAAGTAATTTATTCAGCTGTAATCATTTTTTCCTGTTACCCTAAGATGCGCTGTGAACGTGGTTCCCGAGAGTAGGTCAGCGGTCGAGGCAGCACTGGAAGGATACTGCGATTCGCTGCCTGGTGCTTGGACAGATACCTCAGGCATGATTACGGTAAACAAACGTTTTCATAGTTCTACTTCTACACCTATTTTTATTATCTTTAAAAGCTATGAATATATCAAGAGATACATGTTTCCAACACACTGCTAGCTGATTTTGAATATATTTTTGTCAAGTGCCAAATCTGTTGTGTTTTAGGACCTTAACTTTGAAGCTAAAGCATCAAAGGTTCATTTTGAATTGCCATTCCCTGTGAACTACTCTAGTCAATGTGTTAACTCTGTGCCTTACAACCACGAAGACTACGCAAAGTAAGTGTTCAAACATAGCGATTGACAGACTGTGAGATATTTGAGACTACAATCGTCTGACCAAATCCTTGGAACATTCCAGCGAATTTCCCCATTTTAAGCAACACCCTCAGACAATTTCATCCCCCTGATCCCCTCAATGCAATGTTGTCATTGAGCATGTTGCCATAGTACACAAGCATCCAAAACAAGATCCAACATTAATGAAAGGGGGCTAAGGGGGAAAACTGTGAAAAATATAAAGGGGAAAAATGTCTGCAACGATTGTACATACATAAATGGGAAAACAAATGGTGTGTGCAAACACAAACGAACGGACGAACGGACATATCGATATACTTGACAGTATTTTATGTTATACAAATAAATATGATGTGTATCTTTTAAATACTAGATTGAGAATTCTCGCAAGACTGTTATCTTCAAAGTTTCTTCATCGAGAAATTCGGTAAAAATAGGGTTTTACTTTTGTGTTGTATTCAGGCGCTTGATCAAAACCCTTACTATAAAATAGGGTCATATCGCCGTTTTGAATCCTGTTCTTCCATGGCGTTTTGATACGTAGCATTTTTCATATCTTCAGGGAGAAAGGCGGTGCTTACGGTGGAGGYGCTAAACTTGGAGGAGGCGTATTCTCATTTTATTCTTACAGGTTTGTGTTACAATTATCGGTTTAACTGTGCCTTAAAGGTGGCTTCCTATAGTTTTTTTTTTTCGACCATACCTCACCTTATAAATTCGCTTTTTGAAAATCTTGACGTGCACCGATTTATTCGGTGTTTGGGTCAGTAATAAAGCATTGATCAAAGTTTTGCTTGGCATAATATTTAGCCCATTAACGTTACCTAGGCAACGGAAATAGGCTTTTGGCGAAATTTGCTATTGCCAAATATCTCAAAAAAGTGATGAGATCCAGAAAAGCGGTAGACATCATCATTAGCTTCAAACTATTGCACAACGTTTTGGAATAGTTGAAAACAGATTCATCGGTTAGATTTCGAGTAATATGCAAAAATCACATCCATAAAATATTTGTCAATATTACTCGAAATCGAAAAGATGAATTTGTTTTCCGTTGCCTAGGTAACGTTGATGGAGCTAAATATTATGCCAAGAAAACTATGGTCAATGCTTTAATACTGGTCCAAACACCAATGAAAACGGTGCACATGGCAAGATTTTCCAAAAAAAAAAAAAGATTTGAAAGGAGAGGTATGGTCGAAAAAAACTAAGGAAGCCACCTTCAAGGGCGACGAATGATATGAAGAGAAGACCACGAGTCACTGATCGTTTTAGAATTCGAATTGGCAATAGCCTATCGTAAATAGCTTCATATATACTTGTTATTTCGCTGATGCTCTGAACAATCTTTCTGAAGTCGTAGTTTGTCGGGATATGACGCAGGCTAATGAAAAGTTATAACTTCGTGATTACGTCAAATTCACGTATATCTACTGCTAAGTTTGTTTTGTGTAGCCATAGCATGGATACAGTGTCTACAAGAATAATTTGGGGGTAATCTAAATATATACCCTGTACTCGTTTGATCAAATTGTTTTACCTAGCAAGTTATTCTGCAAATAAACAGGTCATAATACTCCTTAGCATGAAATTCGTGAATCGTTCCACGAATTTGACATCTACTTGAAATGTGAAGTAATTGTCTTCATGATAAAAGAAGAAGATATTTCTTCTGCGTTGTGGTGATTTGTATTGTTGTTGTAATGCATGTAACGGTTAATATATAAAAATACGGCGTCATCTAATGCATGATCGTCGTTTTAGAGACCCAAATAGTGTAGACACCTTGGACGCTTTTAACAGGTCTGTTGAATGGGCCGAACAAGGACAGTTTACAGACCTAGACATCGATGAAGCCAAATTAGCCGTATTTGCATCGGTAAGACATGAATTCGCTCCTCACCATCCTCCAATCCCTCATTCCCTGTTCTTCATGTGCACGTCTCATCTCACTTCATCCCTTCCAGTTATTTCTTTTTTTCCTTGTGTTATTTTTTTCTCCTTTCAGCTCTTTATTCCTTTCCGCGTCCCTCCGTCGATCCCTCTATAATTTACTCTCTCCTCTTCTTTCTCCTATTCGGTGCCATCCCTTCTCCATCTCCTTTTATCCAATATTCTTCCATATATGTTTATATTAAACTGCATCGTCATGGTTACAGGTCGACAGCCCAGTGTCACCAGGCAACAGAGGCCTAGGTTATTTCAGCCAAGGAGTAACAGACGAGATGAAACAAACACAGCGTGACAGGTTGTTTGCTGTCACGCGTGACGATCTTATCGACGTCACAAGGCGGTGAGTGTTTTTTTGTCGGTCAGTAGGTTTGATTTTAACAATGCAGTTGTTTAGCAATGATATTTCGTTTTGCCTAGGTACCTGTCCTCTACTTCAAACTCAGTTGCACTCTTAGGGCCAGAAAACGAGCGTACTTCTACSGACAGTACTTGGACAATTAGGAAAGAAACTTTATAAAATAAATCTATGTCACAAAGCTACACTGCAAATAATTGAAGTAGGGCGGGGTTTTCTGTTATGTTTTCGTTGTTTKTTTTTCTGTTGTCGTCGTCGTCGTTTTGTGTTTGGTTTGGTTTTCTTCTTTGTTTTGTTTTTGGTTGTTTTTGTTTAGGGGTTTTGACTCATGATCATCACAACATATCTAATCCACATGCGTCTTTAAGCAATAAACGATCGCTTTAAGCGGTTTTACTGGCGAAATAAACAGGCGGGATGGTTGGGAGAACACGAGAAAATATCTTTAAATCACGTTACCTTTCATATTTTAAGGCAGAAAATTTTGAAAATTTAAACGCAAAAGTCTTTCAAGACGGCAGGCTGGATTACCGGTGAAATAAAACATAGCTTTTYTTATGAAATCCGCCAATCAGTGCGCGTGTTAGAATTGAGGTATAATATAAATTAAAACAAACAATTCSAACTTTTTGAGAATGAGATTTTATATGTTTCTACAGAAAGAAGAAAACACAGTGCTTACAATCTGTACTTATCAAAAAAGGAGAGAGAAAACGTAACAAAACAAAACAAAAGACAACAACAAAACAAAACAAACTTGGTGATGAACGTATTTTTTCAYGCCACCTGTCGGAACGCAATATGGAGGTCGAATTGAAATCAGCATTTGTTATGAATAACATATTCAGACAACATATGCGGATACTAATTGTAAGTTTTTATTACAGTCAATGCAACAATTACTCCGATACAATATGTTGTTTTTATTGGTTAAAACCAATCACATTCTAGCCTGCTAGTATTTATCAAACGTTAATATATACTCTAATTAAATTGTTTTGAAGCATTCTCTATTTCCGATAATCTAAGATTCTAAAAGCCGGGGAGGGTTTTGAATTTAGAATGAAAGAGTGGGGTTGATGAATTTATTACATTCAAATTGCAAACAGGTCATTATTATGTGCACCGAGACGGAACAGAAGGTCATTATTTCGAAAAACAATAACCTACTTTCACATCTCGGTGGGCGTAATAATAACCTACTTTCACATCTCGGTGGGCATAATGATGAATTGTGTGCAATTTAACCTAAAAAGTAGTTTACAAGCAAAAACATGCAGAAACAACAAAACAATAATCATTGGCTAAGAACGTCCATCAGGTTTTCAACTTACGTGGTATCCAACAATTCTGAATACTATTTCAGAAACGATACTTTTAGACTTTTCTAAGCGAGCTCATGTGAAAAGCCATTTTTCTCTTTTATAGTCAATAGCATCGCGGAATCGCCTCTCGGTAAATATTCATTGATAATCACTTCGCCTTCGACAAAAAACAGGTATATATTAAATGGGTAATTGGCCTCGGCTGCGTGCTCAGTCATTATTTTCAATAAACCTCGGAGCTCATCCATCATAAACATCCCTTGATTAGGGCATTGCYGTACGTTCATATCTATAAGGAGTATTTCCTAACCGTTAAAAGCGAAATAGCTGAGTTGTTTACAACTTCATTCCATATTATCCACTTAGAAAAAAAAGTGGGTAGGAAGGACACATGAGATGATGTATCTCAATAGCACAAAGTCGCTAAATGCCAGTATAACTAACCAAGGCAATGAGATCTCATGGACAGTGGCGTTCTCTCTTCAATTCTTGTTCAGTTTTTTCGGGAATTCTCTCGTTTTATTGATAATCTACAAGGACAATCGATTGAAAACGACCACTAATTACTTAATGGCCAATATGGCGGTCAGTGATCTTCTTTCAGCTTTAACTGTCTTTCCAGGACAGATAGTGAGCTTAACCTATGCAAATCCATGGAATATTACAGGAGAAATAGGCATTGCCTTGTGTAAGTTGTATAGCTTTGTAATAAACTTATGGTTTATTGTTTCCATAAATRCCTGTGTTTTCATKRCAATCGATCGGTACTACGCTGTTGCTCACCCACTAAAAAGAGTCTTYCACAGCAAGATYAAGCGCATGATTGCTGGGATTTGGATTTCAACATCTATACTGGTTTCACCTACCTTGTTCTATTTTGACTTGGTGGCTACAGATGGCAGCAAAATGATATGCGGTGTGTCAACAAAGTACCTCTCTTCTTTTAATGTTTATCTATATTTCATTTTGGCTTCAACTTCTTGTTTGCCAAGCTTAATCGTCATAATCGCGTACACCTTAACCGTGCACAAACTTTATCGCCACAWGGYTCCAGGACTACAAAMCYCAGAGCTCAATAGGAGAAACCACCAAAACAGAAAAGTTTTAAAAATGGCCATAACAGTTGTGTCTTTGCTTTACCTTAGCTATGGGGCCTGTATGTTTTACAATTTGTTTTCTAGTTTTGAAKACTCGCGTGCATTTCTTTTCTTGCTATACATGAGCCTTGTATACAACTTTTTCATCTATATCATTTTCAATGATATTTATCGTCAAAACATGAGGAATATGATATCCAAATGCTGTTKCTGTTTAAGGTTAAAGAGAATTAATTCCAATAAGCGTACCGACCCTGGACCGACTGTGGTAGAAATGACAGAAATGAACACGGTCATTTCGTAATCTAAATATGTAAACGTTTCTTAATCTTTTCATTGCATCACACCTAAATATACTTTGACTAGTTCACTTTGTTTCATCATGGGTTATTGAAAATCACTTTGCAGATTTTCATCGCGCCTTCAATAGTGGTATAAGTATGCTTTAACATTTATACTCTTATCTAAAAATTACAGTTCAAATATTATTGTCTTGAATTCAATAAATATATTCAGTGTATAAAACATTATTTCGAGAAGGCTTGTAACTAGTCGCAACTAGTTCTTCCMAATAAAGTTCATGAAAGAATATCATTTGTTTATTAAAAAACTCATAATGTTTAGTAGGTCCTTCCGACGTGTTCTGTCTAAAGGCAAATATCCTGTCATTGCCTACAATTTAGAAACGTTTCATTCTTTTTTTTAATTTCTTATCTTTTTTAATTTGTGATGACAGAGAGCAGTCGATTYCACGATGCTGACAAGGATGATTAGTGAAGTGCTTGAAATATTTAATTGTAATATAATAATTAATATGTCCCAATATTTCAGGGGCCGAATACTGACCCATGAACCTCCGTAAGGTTTTAGGTTGCTGTTTATGTAAAAAAATTGGGAAAATGTTGGTAATGATGATATTTTTTCAAAATTTGTTTTGCTATTGCAATACTAGATATATATGATATAAAAAAGTCATTGTTCGTTATCAATATTTGTATTTAGTCTATTTTTAATTATCTTTTCCATTAAGAGCTAATGTGAACTAACTTCGATCAATTCAATAAATCACTCGGGTCGCTAGTTATTACTCTCTTGATATTAGCAGCCAGTCATTTATTATTTTATCAGGTAAGAATACAACTATTTAAACTATATTGTAAGCCGGAATGTTTATTGATTGAAAAAATATTCATCGCAACACAGAGGACGGTACGTAGAGAAATAATAGAGACGATGTTTAGCAACAACACTTTGAGTCAAGACAGTAAGATTTCATTGTCAGTGGCCTTTTCTCTCCAATTTCTCCTAAGCGTTATTGGAAACTCTTTGATTCTATGGATAATCTACAAGGACAATCGACTGAAAACGACCACTAATTATTTAGTGACCAACATGGCCGTCAGTGATCTTTTTACGATTCTTATCGTGTTTCCAATGATGATATTTTCCATAATCTTCAACAATCATTGGATGATAAGTGGTGATATAGGAAGCGGACTTTGTAAGCTGTCTACCGTTCTAGTAGATGCATGTTTTACTGTATCGTTGATAAGCTGTGTTTTTATTGCCATTGATCGTTATTTCGCCGTAGCTAAACCATTCAGCAAACCCTTCCAAGGCAAGATGAAATCTGTCATCGCAGGTATTTGGATCTCGGCAGTTGCACTCTGTTCTCCCTACTCGTATTTCCTGGACACAGTTAGATATGGCAACTATTTGTCTTGCAAAGTTTCACAACAGAAGATGTCAATGTTTAAACCTTACAGATATTTTGTTTTAATATTTAGCAGTGGTTTGGCAGCCCTGTTCTGCGTAATTATATACGTTTTAACTGTTTACAAACTTTATCGACACAAACCTCCTGGACTGACAAACTCAGAACTTAAAAAAAGACAGCACCAAAACAAGAAAGTTCTTAAAATGGCCGTGTCAATTGTAGCCCTCTTTTTTATTTTCCATGGSAGTTGGTCGAGTTTTATYATGTTGTTTTTCGATGAAAAACTTTTTGATTCACCRCCATCATTTCTTCGCAAGGTCGGTTAYGCATTACCTTTCGTGCACTACACAAGTCTCGTTACCAACTTCTTCATCTACATTATCTTCAATGATATTTATCGTGAAAACATTAAGAATTTAATATATAAATGCTRTTGTACATTAAAGGTTTCAAAAGCAGATCTCAATAAAAGACAGGTAGATCCACAACCAGCTGTTATAGAACTAACAGAATTCAACACCTYGACGTATTGATCATATAGGCCGTAGGAGTTGATGCCGCTCCTAAAACAGTTCTTCATATTTCATCACGTAAGATAGTGAAAAGTCAGGCTCAAACTGATCGATTGAAGCCTGCATGATCTCATTTATAAAGCTGAAATTATCAAGGCAAYGTTTGAAAGAACATTTTTTTCTCTACTTAAAACTGTACTTTTTATGTGAATGTAGTGGACTTTGAAGAGGATTTTTGAGGTCTGTAATTCACTGAAGGAATTAAATGACGAAATTTATTATTGTGTGAGGACTTTTGGAAAACTAAGCACGACCCGGAGAACTTAACGTGAATGTGATACAGTAGTAATTAATATTTTGARTTTTATTAGGGATTCAAGACTTTTATAAATCAAGATTCAAACGCTTAAACGAGGGCCTCAATCACTASCAACGCAGTCAAATCGTTTGATATTGTCTAACAACACTGTTTCAATGAAATACATTTGCAAGGAAAAAAAATAGATTCGATCATGATTTTGGTCAAAGCAATGGTGTTTGTATACTTGTAAGGTTATTGCAATTCTATGTTCATCAGTGACTGGATAGCATGTTTATAATTTTTTAATATAGTAATGGATGTTCTAGAGACTATATTTTACCCCTCGCAATGCTTGACMCCGATATGTTCCAAATTAAGATGTCGATTCGAACCTCTTTTTTAATTATCTTTTCCAGCAAGACTTAATTGTGTACTTCAAAATTGTAATATCGATCGATCAAACTAATGGAAAAATAAATTTAATATATCTCTCGGAGACTGTCATTTCTGCTATCAAAAACACCGATCTTAATGTAAGGATTCAGTTATTATTTCWTTTAAACATATTTACCTTTTCAAGGAAGGTTTGACAAAGACTTCATAAAATGACCGAATAATGTTCTAGGTTAGGGTAGAATAGAATTAAGTTKTCAGGATTTTCAATGAGTYTGGCTTTGTAACTTCTTCAGTTCTGATGCTGCMAACTGCSAAGAAAATTATAGACAGTTTGGAAATATCTTGACAGAATTTCATTTCAGTGTATGTTGTCGACAACCCTGACCTCGATCAATCATATGAACCACAATCAATAGTTAGTATAGTGCCAAAAATATACCGATGAATTAATGATAACTGTCTGGGATTTTAAATATAATTTTATTTAATTTAATATATCTAGAGATATATGAACTAATATGTCGTCCAATATTTGTTGACACTGAAAGCTTTCCATCAAGTTCTAAGACAAAGAGATGGTATAAGAAAATTATAGATGCAATTACGTTTGCTTTTTCATCTTGCTTCTGGCTCCAAAGCACTGGCGCAAAAAAAAAGACAGACTGAATCCATGTACTGAGTCCCATGGAGAGTTGCATTTTTCTATTGAAATCTTTGTTAGCACTATCGGAAATGCATTCATTTTATTGGTAATCTTTAAGGACAATCGGAACTGAAAACGATGGGATTAAATGCGTAGAGATAGAATAGAATGGGTATACAGAAACTGGGAATGGCATTGGAAGCATGAAGGATCCTGATGCAATTATGCGATTTTTGGTTGAATGTGACCTGGTCCAAATATATATATGGGATTTAGAACCCTCGACTATAAATATTCTATGTCTCTATGACAACGTTTCTGCAATTAGGTATTAACTGAGAACAGATATAATAAAGCTCAGAAGGTTAAAGAAGACAATTAAAAAAAGACGGATGGACCACAAGAATAAAACGTCGCCCAATCACATTCCRGAATGTATATATTTATTCATTAAAAATCAGAATTGATGTGACATGAACCAAAGTAGTTTGAAGTCCTTACTATATAGSTGTAGTGCTCCGGGAATACAGGATCTTTTTCATCGTTCTTCGCGTATGGAAAGACCTATTATCAATTTAAAGCATATTCAGTTTTTTTTCTTTCAAACAGTCAAAGCACAAAAACGTAAGGCGGCACTAGAAAATGATGATTGAAAACACGACTTTGAATGCTAATATTCCTAGTGGTGACTATAGCATAACTGTATTATGGACGGTGGCTTTTTCTCTTCAATTCGTCGTAAGYGTTATTGGAAACCTGTTGATTTTGTGGATATTCYACAAKGACAAWCGATTGAAAACGACAACCAATTACTTAGTGGCYAATATGGCGGTCAGTGACCTTCTAACAGCTCTTTTTGGCTTTCCAAGTCAGATAGTAGTCATCAATTCACACGGAAGATGGCTTGTCCTTAATGAGRATGTGAACGGTGTTTTTTGTAAAYTGTTGACCTTTGTAATAGATATGTGWTTTAATGTTTCGCTAAGTAGCTGTGTTTTYATTGCCATTGATCGATACCWTGCCGTGGCAAAACCATTTAACAAACCTTTCAAGACTAAGATCAAATGCATCATCGTAGGGATTTGGATCTCAGTAGCTGCACTCTGTTCACMGTACTTGTACTTTGTTGATACAGCTAARGAYAACAAGCAAACGCTTTGCACAATATCGTCAGATACGTTGACGATTTTTAAATCTTACAGGTATTTTGTTTTAGCCTTAACCAGTGGTTTGGGCACCCTCTTGGTCATAATCACGTACATTTTAACCATTTATACACTWTATTCTCACAAAGCTCCCGGATTGTCAAACTCAGAAGTKAAAAGAAGAGGGAAGCAAAACATAAAAGTGCTCAAAATGGCCATTGCAGTCGTAGCTGTGGCATACGTTTGCYATGGATGCTGGTCGATCTTCGTYACTTTGTTTTTTGACAGRGAAGTAGTCTCTTCCTCGTCATTTCSCAATCTTGATTACGCATTATACTTTGTGCTGTACATGAGYCTTGTGTCCAATTTCGTCATCTATCTCATCTTCAATGACATATATCGTGAAAATGTTAAGAACTTGATATACAAGTGCTCTTGTAAACAARAATGAATAGATACCTGCAGAAGTAAACGGGCAAAACTCATTTRTCTGACCATGTTATAACTATCAGAAATGAAATAGCATCAGAATAAATATATGAATTAAAAAGTTGAAATTTGGTTGTATTACATATAAAATCTTCGCAAACTATTCTACATACGTTKATGTTGAGATAAAAGAGGTGCCCAAACAGGGCTGTGTATTATAGCCAAATGCTCTCTTTGGCAAATGTTTAAGTCAGAACAGCTTATCAAAACATTCCAAACCATATCGGTGTCTACTAACCCGTGATGATGGAAAGTTCTTCTCCCTATTAAGATTCAGTGCAAGAACAAGAGTTCAAGAGATTGCTGTTCGTGAGTTTCTGCCTGCAGTAAATTTGGTCTTACAGTCAGCTTCAAGAAAACAGTAGTGCCAATCTTTAACTGGACGCTACAACTTCTCAGTGAACACTATATACAACACTTGCCTCTGTAACCTATCTAGGTTCCACCATAACTTTTAACCCAGGGCCGTAACCAGAACTTCTACCGGGGGGAGGGTGGGGTGCAAATATGATAAAACAGGGCAATTATTGCCCTGGGTGAGCGGACCTTCGGCTTCTCTGGATGTATGACACCATCCAACTGGGTTTTATTGTACACAGACTGTTAGTGAGGGCCAGCGTGAAAACCCTTGCCTATTGTATTCGATAAGGAAGATYGAATCTTCTCAGTTGAGGTTCCCACTATGACGTCTATGATTTCTTTCARTTAAAGTCGATTTTCTGTTTTTTATTGTGAACGATGGGTTAATATATTTTCTTTACAACGGTTGAAAACCTGTGATAATTCTAGATAGTTTTTATTCTAAACATATTCGATTGAAAGAATTTAGCACACAGTCAAGCTCCCCTGAGATCGATCAAACCCCAATAGCTGTTTTAACCAAAACCATATGGAGAGATGATTAATTTTAGTCAGTTCTTAATTGCAATAAAGTAATATAACATCCATGTATAGAGTAGAGTTCATATGTCTCTAATATAATGCATTGACATTTCCACGTTATCATTATTAAATATTTATTCAAAGGGATATGGAATGAGTAAAATGCCAAACCATCTTAACGATGCCCCAGGCCTTTTAAAATTGTGTACTGTACGTCTGTCAAAAACTACTGAAGAAGGCCGAGAGGGAGCGACGTTTTGATTAAAATTATTCAAAGTGTTTCCTCCCTGTTTCGTCCATGTTGCGTTGTCCAATTAAAGCCTAGGCCGCCTCATTAATATTGGTTGTCGGATAAAGTTCGATTTGCATTAGAAATATGAGACGAAAATCCCGAGGGTTGAGGTTCTAGAATAAAAAGGTGTCGTGAATCAACCAAAAACTTCTAGAAGGCATCCACTCAGGAAAGATATTTTGTCATGTCTCTTTTAAAGTCGTTTAATGMCATTCTCCGTGTTGTAATAACAGCGATATAATATGGTCAGCTGCTTTTGGACTTGCGGCATAATGGGAAACTCATAATCTCTATAGTAAACAAGTACAAACGATGCTCTTGTCGGTCTCGCAGGATCGTTTCCAATGGTGATATTCGTAAAGTCGAAAACCTAAAGACTATGATATGGAAGTGCTGTTGCAAATTAAAACAAATGATGAGCTTCGAGAACAGACAGGAGGAAGGGAGGGGGGAACCTCAAAACCCTGACATCTTGGACGTAAAATTTCGATTTCCATTGGCACCAGACTAAACCAAACTATTCCCAACATCTCTTTGATGGTTTCCTCTACTCCATGAGGTCTTTGAACTTAACCGTTCAATTAGTTTTCAATGCTCGATTGTTTKTTCTCTTTTTCGATTTTAACTTCAATTTTTATTAATGATATGCATATGATTATCTTTCATTTATCGCTGGTCCCTATGCCATTTTAATCATGTTTTCAAGTTAATGCGTTTCTTTACCATAACAGAAAAATCAAGTTCCATCTTAATTAGTAACGTATAATATTGAAAGTACGACATAAACAACCTTTGGTCGTACACAATGTAATTCTTAATGAATATGACCGTAACTGTGCCAAAGATGTATTTGATGCTCACAGAAAATTGAACARTGTATAGGGTGTTTCAGTCACTCTGTCCGTAATTTTAAGTTATATACTACATGTTATTCGATACAACATTCTTTATCTCCATCAATCTATCAAATTTTATATGAACCTAGATCATAAATCGCAAAACGTATTAATATCGAAAGCATCTGGATGTAGAAACTCTGTGATATGCTATAATAAATTATTATTGATTATTATTATGTAGCAGGTCATTTTTAATTCCGTTAAGATAGCAAAACATTATATATCGAATCGGCATTGTAGTATCGGTTACAGTGAAATGATACGTTGTCCAATCATAAACCAGTACTATCATAAATTTATCAAATAAGATTGGTAGAAAGTGTTTAGAACCACCAAATGAATTTCCGAAAGGTGCAGCTGAATTTTTTCTCTGACTTTGCCCAGAGATATTATGATTTTAAAACTATCATAGAAAGAGTACAGAAGAWAAATATAGGATGCTCGACAATACAACTTTAAACGATTCATCTTCTACTCCCAGCTTTATCGATGACAGTGAGATCCCGTGGAAAGTGTTTCATGTCATTCAATTTTTCTTTGGTATTATCGKTAACTCGCTTATTCTATGGATAGTCTACAAGGACAATCGACTGAAAACTACCACCAATTACTTAGTGGYCAACATGGCTTTCAGCGATCTTCTTGCGGCTGTCATTTTGTTGCCAGTTCATATAGGGCTTATAGTATTTCACAATCAATTGTTGTTTAGCGTTATCGCTAAGAACGATTTGTGTAAGGTAGTTTCATTTGTCATTCAAGTATGTTTTACCGCTTCGGTGAGTAGCTGTGTTTTCATTGCCATTGACCGGTACTACGCCGTGACTAAACCACTCCAAAAACCATTCCTGAGCAAGATGAGGTACATCATCACAGGTATTTGGATTTCAACAGTTATCCTATGTTTTCCGYTCCTGTACTTTGTTGAGACTGGTGACCAATCAATACCTTGCACTRTATCATCAAAGAAYTCATTTTCTTTTAAAGTGTATAGATATATCACTTTATCTCTGACCAGYGGTTTGACAGTGTTGTTTAATGTAGTTATTTACGCATTAACTGTATACAARCTTTATCGCCACAAGGCTCCTGGACTTACTAATTCAGCACTAAAAAGAAGAGAGATACAGAACAGGAAAGTTCTTAAAATGTGCGTGACAATTGTGGTTTGTCTATATCTTTGCCACTCAAATTGGATRGTTTCTGTTATTTTGAGTTATGAAGGAATCTTCAACAAACAATCTTCAAAAMCTTTTCGCAACTTCACTTATGCATCTGATTTCTTKCTCTTCTTTCGCSTGGTATACAACTTTATCATCTACATGGTTTTCAACAACATTTACCGTCAGAATATAAAGACTATGGCATTGAMATTTTGTTTTAAATTAACGGGATGCAATCATATGAATAGGCATGAGCAGTCAACGCTTCCACAACCAGCTGCCATAGAGCTTACAGAGKTGTGTCATCATTGAAATCGTTGTTACAACAACTATTGCAACTTTATGTTTCTTTGAATTTTACATTTAGCGAGATTTAGAGCTGCATAAGTAAACGTATTGTAATAAATCATCAATTTAGACCAACTGAAACTAGTTTCTCATTCTTGCTCTTAACAGAGAAAGAAATATTATGGCCATATAAGGCCCAGTTCATGCGTTGATCATTTGCAACTTGCAATCTTATTCCTTGCATTTCATTCACGAGAAGTTTGCAGTCCTTTAAATAAATTACGATTAYAATAATGTTTGTATAAACTGAATAAAATCTAACAATCTCAATAMGTTCAGAGTACTAAATGACCGTAAACTCACCTCCATCATTTATGAATTCGACATACAAAATTGACGAAGAAAATAAATTATATCAATGATGTATTTTGATTATAGCCGACTGATATAAATCCTTTAATAACAAAATGAATAACACGCCAATTATCTGCAAATTAAGTTATGTCGCATTTTATGTTCAATGCCAAGAACTGTACTGCTCACAGGACCTGCAGATAAAGAATGTTTTAGTATACKTTCCGGACAGAAATGATACATTGATCAAAGGAGCATTTCTCTCTCCTATTCACAGTGACCCGCTTACACGGTGCTTTTCATTTTTAATTTAGATYACATGTCATTGTCTTCCCCTTTTTTCTTTGCTTACACTACTTTATGATGACCGCCTTTTTCTAATAATTCACTACAGGTTTTCAATGTGTTAAAGGATGCATACTGCATGCATACTTGCTGTCGATCAATCAAACACAATGCAYCATTCAATCATATTGGTTATTACTACCGAAAACACGTTGATATCGGTGAGTGTGGGTATACCTAATTTATAATATCGACAAGGGTTTTTATTTGAATAAAACGTGTTGTGTTGCCTAACCATCTTTGGTATTAGATCCATCAAATCTTAAAATTATTGTCTTAGGAATATTTTGTGCCATCTCTCATTTCTATCGTAGCGAARAGCTGTGTCAGGATATTTTGAAAATATCACAAATAWGAAATAAACAAAATGAACTAATTCGAACAAAAACTGCGGACAATTCGACATGACAATTTGGTTATATACTGRCTAGCTGCTAGCTTCTGGAACAATGCATACAAAAGATCATGATCGAGTAGCTATAGGCAAAGAGTGTTGAGTACAGCATGCACGCTGGGCATTAATCAAATACTACATGAAGTATTTATTACTACCAAAGACATATTGACTGAATCGGCTATTTTAATTTCCTCTTTTTACCAAAACAATACATAATTTAGTATGTATTCCAATATAACATGTTTCGATATCCGCTAAATCACATTTTAAGTGTTATGATTGCGAGGTTTGGACTTGTTTTGAATTTCTGATTTAGATATTATAGAAATTTATCAATCCTTTTCTCACACAGCTTTAAAACCTAAAGCAAATCTAGAATATCGAACAAATGATGTATAACAATGCTACTGGTAACTCTTCTAGTGTCAGTAGTTTTACCGATGGCAGTCAGGTAGCATGGGCAGTAGTTCATCTCATTCAATTCTTCTTTGGCATAATCGGAAACTCGCTTATTCTATGGATAGTCTACAAGGACCATCGACTGAAAACTACCACCAATTACTTAATTGCAAACATGGCGGTCAGTGATCTTCTTGCAGCTATCATCCTATTTCCACTTCCGATTATGCTCATAGCATTTAACCATCAATTGATGGTTAGTGGTGAAGTTATAGGAAATATTCTGTGTAAGTTGTTGCCTTTCATGTTAAATGTCTGTTTCACTGCTTCAGTTGGTAGTTGTGTTTTTATTGCCATTGATCGCTATAATGCTGTCGCGAAACCATTCAAAAAAACCTTACTGACAAAGATGAAATGGATCATTTTCGGTATTTGGATTTCAACAGTTCTTCTCTGCTTGCCGTACTTGTACTTTGTTATTGCTGTCAAGAATCGTACCCTAATAACTTGTACAGTGCCATTGGATAAGGTGTTTTCTTATAAGGTGTATCTTTACATCACTTTATCTCTGATCTGTGGTTTGGCAGTTCTGTTCAACATCATCACCTACACGCTGACTGTCTTTAAACTGTTTCACCACAAAGTACCTGGACTACCAAAAGCCGCACTTAAACGAAGACAGCAACAGAACAGAAAAGTGCTTAAAATGGCCGTGACAATTGTGGTTTTACTTTATCTTTGCAATGGCAATTATTTTATTGCTGTTTTGYTGGCTTACGAAGGAGAATGGGTGTCATCATCAGCATTCCGTAATTTTAGTTATGCGTCTGTTTTCCTGTTCTATATGCGAGTCGTGTACAATTTCTTCATCTGTTTGTTTTTCAACGATATTTACCGTGAAAATGTMAAGACTATTGTAACTAAAGTTTGGTGCAAATTATATGAAATGAATGTCAAGATCAAGAAGCCTCTTCCAYAACCCGCCGTCATCCAACTGACACTAGAAACAATACCCAAATAATCGTAGTRAAATATCAAGCACGAAAATGATTCCAATCTGTGAATTTACCATACTTTGGGATAAAAAAGATCGGGACACAAAGTTATGATAGATAGACTAGTACATGTTTTGGCATGGCGGGTGATGACAAAAACTTGGTTTATACTGGAGTTTGATTTGAATTAGAATCGTTCTCCTTTTCATTTCGTCTACGCTCATTAATTGAAATCAGCACGTCAACCAGTCAAACTACATACGAACATAATAAACCAATAAAATCCATAGCTTTTGACTCCCTAAAACATCTGTTTCGATCAGTTGATGTCAAACTTTTATTTAATGTTTAAATATATTAAAACAATATTCGTCTGTATTTGCTTCAACTCAAATATAATCTGTTGAGTTGTCCAATCAATTGCAAGCCTCATCATTATTTAGATTTAAGTGGCTAGGGACAGCATATAATATCTCAAACACGGTAAATGTTCCGGCTTTCTAGGACATTATACGATTGGCTTTTCCTATATTAWGTTTAGCATTGAGAAATCGCAATTTTATATTWTCATTCAAATTAATGATATGGAAAGMTACGCAAGGTAAAAARCAATGGGTGAAAATACCACTTTCAATTCAACTCAAACCAATATTGCTATTTCCAYTGAGATACCATGGGTGGTGGCTTTTGGTCTTCAATTTGTTYTCAGTGTAATCGGAAACTCACTGATTTTATGGATAGTCTATAAAGACAGTCGTTTGAAAACGACCACCAATTACCTAGTGGCCAACATGGCSGTCAGTGATCTTCTTGCAGCTCTAATGGGATTCCCGCTTATGATAGTGTCTGCGAACTATAACAATCGATGGTCGATCAGTAGTATTACAAGCAATGCTCTTTGCAAGGTAGWTMCCTTCATAGCAGAATTGGGTTTTACTGCTTCRATGAGTAGCTGTCTTTTTATTGCCATTGATCGATATTACGCGGTAGCTCAGCCACTCAGAAAACCATTMCAGAACAAGATGAAGTACATCATCTCGGGTATTTGGATGTCAACCATTGCACTCTCATTGCCTTACTTGTACTTTARTGAGSYCATCATGGAAGGCAACAYATTTCATTGCACAGTATCCTYRAAGAACTTGTTTTCTTATAAAGTCTACAGATATCTCCACTTAGCTYTGARCACTGTTTCAGCAGTCCCGYTTATCATAATCACTTATGYTTTAACAGTGTACAAACTTTATCGTCACAAGGCTCCCGGAGTGTCGAACTTAGCGCTGAAGAAAAGARTGCAGCAAAATAGGAAAGTATTGMAAATGGTARYGACACTTGTGATTTTGCTTTATCTGTGCCATGGTACATGGATGGTGTATTTTATTTTGCTTGTTGAAGGGAAATTTGACAATTATTCTGCGTCATTTCGCAACTATGGCTATGGATCTGTTTTCTTGCTCTACATGACTCTCGTGTACAATTTCTTCATCTACATCATCTTCAATCACATATACCGTGAAAACGCTAAGAATTTGATATGCAGATGCTGTTGTAAATTAAGGCAAACTATTTTCATGAGMAGGCCATCATTTCCGCAGTTACCTGTCATAGAATTGACAGATATGATTTCTTCATTGAAATCAATGTAAATATTTGTGCAAAACCAAATATCCAAGCAAGTTGTTCTTGCATGTCATTGTACAATTTAAAATACCGTTGTTTTTTTTTCATGTCACTGTCAGTAAAGGAAGCTTTGAAAAGATCGTTCTATTCCGATAGACAATTTTAAGGGTCCATGTGAATATAGCGTTTGGTGGCAAAAATGCTATACGTATCTCTCGTACTTGGCAGTGTACTAATATTTTTAATGATATTGGTAACGCCTTTGTTAGCATTAAATCCAAGTGGTATCTGAATATTATAACATATCAGCAAAAACATTTAGCTATTGTACTTTAAAACTTGTGATTTACATGAAGCTTTTTCAATGGAAATTCCTTGAAATAAAGCTAAAATATAGGCAATTATAGATATTGTTGAAATTTTCACAAGTGTTTCAAAACGCTTTGCAAGAATAAAATAAACAGCTGATTTAGTAACTCAAACAATGAATGGTGACCAAATAAATCGACAAGGMAAAATTAAATTGATGAATAATGATGTACTGATACAGTTTCATTTATAACTTCCATAATTTAAAGYTTGAAGAGCAACAATGATTATGAACATAATTTGTATTGTGGTTGTTTTTATGTACACTGAGATACCAGGCAACGTGGCACCAGAGGCCGCTCCTTTACATCTCTCAATTACCACAAATGAGATTATTAAAAACGTACCATCTTTATATAAAGACAGGCAGGGAATTTTGTCAGAGTCTGGAATCTGGTTGAATTCTCTCTAGAAAAATATTAATTTCCAATCTAGCAATCTGAATTACAGCTGTTTTGATTACTGGAATTCAGATTTCAGATAAAATTTGTATTGTACACATAGTACTCGATATCTATTTGAACTGCTGTTCGATGTATGCATGTGGGGTGCCTCTAGTGCTATCCCTGTTGAGTATTCTAGTATATAGCTCAAAATGAGCAATGTGTGTTTTAATCTCAAAAGTCTTTTGCTATCCGAAACTAATAGCAAAGCTCATACACTCGATATAAAACTTTAACCAACCAACATTGTCGCCAGTCCCTCATGCCACACGTCATGCAGTAGCTAGACTTAAGCATTCATCTTTCGGTCAAACATGATGGGAATAATGTTCACGTTCAAGTAATTTGTTCCAAAGATCGAAGAATGCCTTTCGTCGCTCAATAAATATTCAAGTATCATTTACTGATGTTTYAGGCGTCAATATTTTTTATGGAGGTTCAGTTTGATATCCCAACATCGACRTGGAAACGGTACAGCAAATAAAAATGCAGTCAACGCTGTTTTCAATCAAGAAGTGCTGTTACTGACCTTCAGCAAACCCTTCGCTATCGGGATGACTGCACCCATAAGCGTGATGTTTATCCGGGACGGTCAGTACAGCACCCTTGCCACTGATAACCCGTCCAACTTTATGCAACACTTCTTTGACTTCCTGACCATGTGATCTAACCTCATTGATAACGTTATCGCTAAATATAAAYCTCTCTATACGAACATCTTGACGAGAAGAGCCTGGGCTCGATGAAAAGAACATGGGTATATCTGTGGTTTGCTTGGCTCCCATACTATTGTCAATAAGATTACTTATATATTGTAACGTCACTTCCGGCGCTGACTGACCAATCACAGCAAGAGCTGCGTATGGCTGCGACCATCGTTTACTCTTCWTTCTAGAGRTTTTCTTTTTCCGCAGCCGCACACCAGATTTTATGTGACGTTGAAAAATCTGGTGAACAAACTTTTTGAACCATCTTTTTCTGGATTCTACGAGCCTACGACTACCTTTCGGGGAAATGTTGTCAAATATKGATTTAAAATCTGTTTCAGTGTAAAATCCTCCGATTGTGTGTGACTCATCCTCTTTTTCGTTGAAATGTTTATTCTCTCTTTTTTTATTGACGTTTTCTTCTTCCTCTACCACATATCGGCTYCGAGCRCCATTCAAATGTTCAAAATCTTTTGARTGTCTACTCAACCATTTTATTTCTCTRATTAAAGATCTTATCTTCCGCTTGGTTCTAGGYTTGTGTTGATTTATTACCTCGGTTCTGCTTGTGTCCAACTTCCATTCACCCCTAGGACCTATAATTGGTCCGTTATTAAGTTCTTCTTTAACTGGTGGTTCCACTTTATGAGTAACAGGTTTGACTGKATTTTCTTTTATAGGATTTTCTSTTGCTTTTTCCGGTAATACTGTTTTTTCTTTCGCTCTAACAGGTTTGACTACCACTCTAACCGGTATTTCTTGTTTCTCCCGCTTTTGCTTAAATATTATAACAGGCTGCAGTCCAGAGGGAACATGATCTCCCGGTTGTAGATTCATGAGAAGATCCTGGAGCACTTCACCAGAATGAGGCAAAGCTATTCCATCAACAAATAGCCCAGTCCCCCATGGCTTACTGTTGGCCGTGTGAGAGAGGGAACAGATGTTACCACTGCTGTCGATAGCAACGACTGCTGCAGAGCCTCTATTGTAYTCACGATTAGCGTCAAAGTTTGTCCATTCAGATAACAGTTCTCTAACATACTCATYAATCATCGCACGACCTTCGCCGTTGCATAGATGACCCCAAATGACCCGTGCGGYGGAGTGATCCATCCGTCCCCTTGGCGAAGCGTCAACGTTGAAAAGATTGTCAATTATATCTAAACTGTCCGACTTTGAATGTAAAAAGTCTGATATGAATTGACTATATCTGCTTATTGACATTAAAGAAAGTAGCTTTGTCGCGTTAGTCAAATAACTATCGTTTGTACTGTTCATATGAGCCAGTTTCAATAGGCCAAGCATCTCAATTAATTCTACTCCTCCCCACTTAGAACCAGAAGTAGTCACGTGATAGCCATTGTACGATATGCTCGCAGGCTCTCGCCATCGTGCCTCGTATTGTCCCAYGTCATAAAAAGTCATTCTGCCACCATGCTTTGTGATCGTATCAATGAATTTTCGCGTCCAGTTTCCTCGGTACATGTAATCTTTGTCATAYCGTTGGATGTTTCTGATGAAGTCAGCAAGTTGGGGCTGTCGAAATAATTCACTTGGTTTATATGGGTTTCCTGTGTCTGGATTAGTGAAGATTTCTTTTCCTAAAAGACAAACAAAAATAATTAAGAAAAAGTCCCCAAAAGTCAATTCTCGCATATTTTTACTCTGAACGTGACCTATTAAACCGCTGACCTCTGCTGAGCGATCAACTAATAGAGGTTCCACTGTTTTATTTGACAATAAATGTTAAAGAGGATGACTACACCACTTAGGCAATTCTACAGTTTGCTTTTAGCGAGCTTTTACCTTCCTTGGTCCGTCTCAAGGTCTTTTTATAATATTTTTGAATCGTCTTGCTCAACTTATGAGGCATCTTAAAACCTTTCTCTGCAAAATATAACGCGGGCTCAAGCAATGTCYTTAGCGGGAATTTYGAGAATTCTGCAGCCTCGTGCATGCCAGAAAGAAATCCTGGAACTAGTACCGAGTCTTCCAATGACTCAACAGTTAGTCTTTCTTCAAAGTCTTTAGGCTTTGGAATCTTCCATCCAGCGTCAAGATTGTGAGTTCTGCCCGTCACGTGATCGTAGTAGAGCAGATTTATTACACCAGCAAACGATATTTCTGAGCCTGCTGTCAGCGGAATATCTGAAAARATGAACAGTATTCTTAAAAGACAGTCACAATATACTAATACTACAGCCATGGGAAATGTAGATATTTTGCTGTTTTCCTAAATTTTTAAGTAATCACGATTATTATTTTCTTAAGTTGATGGTTTAATTAGCGGATTTTCTCGTCCATTCAACAAWAGTCTAATTACTATCATAAACTCTTTTGTGTCCTTTGATCTCAACTGAATAGCRTCATCGTCACCTACGTAAATTTCAATGTACTGTGGGATCAGTTTTCGAGAAAACGAAAGAAATCCGCCATGTTTTGTCCCAAATATATCCTATAAGGCATTGCGCATTTTTTCAGCAGTCTATTGAAACCCAGCAAAGACTAGTCTTTGTTTTTGCACGTTTCATGATCAGATCGGCGTTTAGCCACATGCAATAATCGACCTTATGGCAATCAGAACTGTAATGATTGATACGAATTATATGTACGATTACCATACTATTCGTCCAAGATTGCGTTACGATTTCCTTGCGATAGATTCCATAAAAAGACGGCATTAAAAAGTATCACATAAGCACTGTAACACCTAAGTGATCGTGCGGAGAACGTTTACCAAAACGAACTAATGTAGTATTGTAGTATAGGATACCTTGTACGCTTCATATGTCTTATTCATGCTGCTTTCGATACTTTACTAACCGCACACCAAGAATTAATGATGTACACGTGTAGGGCGGATAATTCCAAGATAAAAACAAATGAAGCAAAACAAATCTTAATATTAGAGAAATGTAATAACATCTCTAGACAATCGGAATGGGTCAAACCATTACTTCACTAAAATTAACTGATTTAGGGGCGATGGGGTGAGAGGTGGGGCAAGGGTTGAGGCACCCATCTCTTCATTATGTTCTTGATGTGAAAGTGCTRTTAGGCTTGAGCTTTATATGTGGTTAATATTTCTGATTGATCGAGTTTCTTTATGACTCAATGCAAACCAAATTTAATCTACATGTTTATTWAGACTTTTACCCATCATTTCTAATTCAATTTTTTATCTCAAGAAGCAAAAAGAAAAAGAAATAATGACTAATAAATGAGTACATATTAAATAAATAAAAAAAAGAATACTTCGTGCCACAATYCAAACTCTGTATCAAATATCACAAACCCCCTTTGTTCAGTCTATCTCGAGATTGCATGAATCTTGCCTAACATCCCCTGCAAGAGATATCCTAGTCTGTTGACAGACGTTCCTGCTGGGGAATTTCTTCTCGGCCCCCCAATAGGAACGCCTGTTAGCAGGCTAGAGATTTCCCGTCCACAATGCCTACTGTAGATGATGAGAAATAAGCATCCTCGCGAACCTTCTGTCTCTCAGTCCGGAAATGATATCCTTGGTCTCAAAAACTGTTAGCACGCTGCTAGACCTTGTTATTGTTTCGAAATTCAAAATGGCCGCCAGTCAATTAATCAACCAATCAGAGAATTCGACTTTAAATCTATCGACCAATCAAAACCAAGCTCAAATCAAACAATGGGTATRATTCATAAAATACTCCGAGGATGAGAAATGAACACCCAAAATACGTAGCGGTAATCCTTGTTGTGTAGCTTATACTCCTCCAAGCACGCACACTTTGAAACAGGACTTAAGAAAAGAAACAAACAACAAACCATTCGGAAATAGTTAAAACAAAGTCTATGTGTCCAACTAATTTTATGAGAACGCTTTGGCACATTTAGCTGGATAGTATTTCGCAAACTCTTAATAAACTTGTCAGCCTGACTGATCAGCAGCAGCTTGTAAAGCAAAATCTTTTAATGAAGAAAAGAAGAATTTGAACGAAAAAAAAGATTTGACCAATCTGGTTGAAAGAGCTTGTAATTCATTGAATTTCAGAATTATTCGTATAATCTTTGATTATTACATTACCAAAGTGTCTCGCCATACGGCCGACTCGTTGGATTTTTCAATGTTTACGTTAACTTAAGTTTTTAAGAAGCTCGCGTGCGCACTCCATGTTCTTTAGGAGGAGTTTCCGGATTTCATTCAGAAAACACGCGAAAACATCATCAGCACTAATTTAGAGGCATAATGACTCGTTTCATGACAACGACTCGGAAACCACCAAAACCAACAATTATATTTGGTATAAAGTTAAAAACAGGTTTTCACAATTAATACTGATTTGTCTTGAAAAAAAAACTGTTTCATAGTCAAATAGTTCGATTTAAATACTATAACAGGCGGCGAAACACTAAAGGCATGAAGAAATTGGCAAATTTAATAGTTACTCATGCTTCTCAAGTGCCTTTCAACTCCCACCGTGTTTATATCAGAGGACAGAGACACAAGCGGCCGTTTTATAGCTCTTTTATAAAATTTTTCGAGCGAAAAACAAATTTTGCCGGTAAGCCGTGTCTCTGTCCTCTGATATAAACACGGTCAGTCAGCCAATCAGAGCACGCGTTATATATCAAAAATTTTATAAAACAAAATCATTCATGATCATTCGCGTATTACTAGGTAAAGCAATAAAATTACTTTTACCGTCTGTCCGCACTGACGTTGCCAAGAGATCTTGTTATTATGATGTATTTTTTATAATTAGTGTTAAAATAATATTTTTAATAAATAGATGTAAAAGATGATATATATTATGTTTTTATTACTTATCATTATATACATTGATAGATATTTTATATGATATTTTATAGCTTAGTAATTCAATGCTATTGATAGATTTCAAATATTTCAATATTTTATTCTATAGATTTATTGTGCTTAGAGCTCCCATTGATAACAGATGCGCATKCAACTGATTGGACCAYTCTGAGATAWATAAAGGTTTATTCATTTATTCATTTGTATTTAACATCTATTTCAAGTTTTAACATTCTTAAAGAATAAAGTGACAAACTATTAAATTATTAGACTATTATTATTGACTATTAGACTGGTTTTCGCCAGAGTGGACCAATAACTGCCCTCTAGGACCATAACAAAGTCTTCTTTTTGTTTGATTGTACTTCAGGAAGCTACACTGATTGATGGTTTAACATTTGCAATCACATAAAAAGAAGAAGATAATACATGGGCGCGCGCGGACTTTTACTAAAAAAGCTATTTCACGACATAATTTGCTTTCATATGTAATTTATGATAAACAGCTACACTAACTCGTGAGGATCTTTTCAACACTCGAAGATAAAATCCGTATCTCCGCTCGCCCATGTAAGATCCTCTATATGTTTAATATATTTCACCATAGATTGTAATGCGTTTGAATTGTTTGGGCTGAGAATTCATGAGATTTGTTACCATATTCTGAAAGGTGATGACAGTGTTGACCTGTTTTAAAAAAATTCAGTGGCATTTGAACAGTGGAGTCCAATTTACAAGAATCTCTATGCGGTACTGACCCAAACATAWCCGCGCTTATATCACGATTACAAATGATAATTTTWAAWWWTT